TCCAGGTGCAGGACCCCTGCACGATGCCTGGACCACAGGCAGCTGGATGGTACATGCCAAATGCCAGAGCTTTGTTAGTGCACAGAGGAGGAGCTGCCCCACAAATATTACATAGAGAAGAACTGGGCGTGAATAGACTGAGCCGCTGAGGTGTGGTACAGTGCTTTCCAAAGCAAATGCTTCAACTATTTTCTAACACAAGGTGGTGGCAGGTCCTAGCCGTAACTTACTTAGCAACCGCACTGGAACCTGCACAAATTGGGACAATGATACAGTTCACCTGCAACCATTCATGAGAAACACGAATGGAACGCCTTATGCATAGAGACGGAAGGGAGTCTGTAGTACAGACTACAAATCCAACAATAATACATCCTTTCAGCCACAGGAGTTGCACAAACAACAACATATGGCCAATCGAACTGAAATCCAAAGTCCTGAAAAATATGTAACTGTTGTTGCCAAAGTGAAAAGAAGTGTGATGGAACCACACATTGGAAATCTGCGATTGGCCATGGCGTTGCCTCAAAAGTCCATTTCACCGCTGTTTTCACAGTTTAAAGGACAGTAGTTGATGGTGTTTCCTACGGCTTAACAGTCCGTGATTTTAACATATTAAAAAAGAAAAATTCTCCAAGTTTAAAGTCACATTTAACTAGGAAACAGACCAGATTTGGAAATGGGACTATGTTAATGTATGGTTGGCTTCTGCCCTCTGACAGTCAAGAATCTACATGTGTCTTTGCAGTTAATTTTAATATTAAAAAAAATTGGGGTAATGTCGGGATAAGGACACATATGTAATAACTTAATCAATAAAAAATTAAATAAAAAGCGAAAAAAAAGTTGGTGGAGGCCCATCCTCTTGTACCATCTGAGAAGCCAGCTGTGAATCCATTCAGACGGTAATAACTTGCTCTGTGTCGTCAGAAGCCTGATCTCCCCAATGGTGTATGGGGCGAGGAACCTTTGGTTTGGCAGACACAGAGCACCACACCGAGGCCCCGAGGGGCCAGGACGGCGGGTGCCAGCCCAGCAAGGCCCTGTCCTGCAGCCACTGTCCTCCTGAGGTGACAGTCAGCTCCAGGGCCACACTGAGAACACAGTAAACATATCATGCAGAGCAGGCCAGGCTCCAGCAAAGCCATGCACTTTGTGTCAAAGCTCCCAGGAGGGTCATTATAGAGCTTTGTAGCCCTTTGAAGACCTTTCCTTACATGACTGGCTGAGCGCCCTGAAACAGAACAATTTATTAATTAACTCCGTGAACACCAAACTTTAAGAATTAAAGCTAATGACAGAATGGCAGGATGACAGGAACGAGCTGGAAGGTCCTCAATCCAACCTCCCACCCGATGTTTCTCCTTTTCCACCCGCCCTCCTCCCAGCGGTTCCCTGGACCCTCCTCCGTGCGGCCAGGCTCCCCTGCAAAGGATGTGAGTCTCCGTCCTAGTTCCTTCTGCTGAGCTGGAATCGGCCTCTGGGTGGCCTCTGCCCTCAATCCTGGTAGAAGTCCTCAGGCCCAGAGGGCGAGTCCGCACTCTCCTCCACTGACAGCCCCCTCCCCGTCCGCAGGGACAAGCCCCTCACCCCAAGTTTACTCTCTTCCCACTAGCGCTGCAGGGCTAGGAACCAGAGGAGAAGACGTTCCCAGGTTCACAGTGGCCTCTGACCCGAACACCGCAAAAGGGCAGGCACCAGCGCGCGCTTCCCGTGCATTCATTCATTCATTCATTCATTCCGTCCCCAGATCCAGATGCGCGC